GCCTGACGCCCGCCGTGGGCGCCTGGAGGCGCCACTCCCACCGCACGAGGAGGGCCCGTCGCGCCTCACGCCGCCACCGCTCGACCACTTCGAACGGGGCGGCCCGACCGCAGGCCCTGGTCTCCGCCTTCCTCGCGTAGACGACCGCGAGGACCTCCGCCTCGAGGTCCCACGGTGGAGACCCGGCCAAGAGGCAGGCCGCCTCGTGCCCCACCGTACGGTACCCCCGTATGACCCGCTGCGCCATGACCCTCTGCGGGCGGCGCAGCTGGGCCCTGTTCTGGGCACGACATTTAAACCTGTCCCAACCAATAGCCCCACCCGTTCAGTCACAGGCTAACATGTTACAATGTAGTCCGCGTTCGTCGCTGTCGTCACGAGTAAGCTCGACAAGACAATGACGTAAGCACCTGCTAGAGTTAATTACACATTAATTGGTTCATTAGTTCTGCACACACCAACATACCTGCTTTCTAAATAAAGTCGCTACGTTGTGATGGTATGTAAATAAATTCAGTAGATATCTACCCTTTGTATAGGTAATGAAATTGGTTGTTAGAGGACACGGTGCCCTATAGGAGATGATGGTGGCTACCCCGGTGGTTTAAGTTTTTTTTTATGGAATAGAGGCAAACGAGTAAGCTAAGTTTAAGCTTCCTCATGCGAACCGCTAAGGAATGGAATTCCTGAGTCTGTTTCCCGTCAAATATGACTTGGATGTCTTCAAGTCCCGAGTGAACAGGTTGCTCATAGGTAGGCGTGCTCCATCGTCGGCCACATCATCGCTTACCATCATCATCCTATAAAGCATAAAATTAACAAAAAAAAAGTAAAGTGAGAATTCCACACTCTTTAGTTTTTCCCCCAAACAGCTAGACGCATTTTGAAGGTTTCCCCCCTGTCATATAAAAGGTAATGAAATTGGTAACACCTTCATCATCGTCATAATCATATCAGCCATAGGACGTCTACTACTAAACATTGGCCTCCCCCAATGACTTCCAGATGGGCCGTTTGCAAATGACCTGGTAACACCGTGAAACATTTTAATTAAATATGACGAGAATACAATTGTCAGCACCCATATTGTTCCTAAACTACTTAGACTCAAGGACTTTGAAAGAGACCAGGGACTAGGTATCTGAGAAACCAGAATCACAAAATCTGCGGTTTTGAATCGACCTGACAAACGTAGAGATTATGGACTCTGTCATATAGAGGAAGTTTCTAATCTAGCAGTACATGGTCACGAGCTTAGTGACGCTGATGATAATTATAGGAAATGAATAAAACGATTATTAGAGTTAACAAATTAAACTTCGGTTTATTGCACGAGTATTACAGTCACAGATAAAAGGGAATAGACAAGTCAATTTTTATTTTTCTACAGTGACGCAGTGTTGCTATCAACTGAACTACAGTGTTTTGGGTATGGGCAATGTTTACATTCTTCTAATAATAATGAATCTGTGGTTCTTTCGTCAAAAGACTTACAGAATCTTCGATCGATTGAGTGATCGAAGTAAGGCCAGTACGATTCTTGCGGTACTGCTTTAAAATACATTTGGATTTTCTCCTGTGTCGTAGGTGCGTTTACAAACATACAAGTTCACATACACATGACACCCAGACCCGAAACAACAATTTGTGGATCACACAAAGAGTTGTTCCGTGCGGGAATCGTCCCTGCGACGCGTTGCACGGCAGCCGGCTGCCCAGCCACCGCACCAACCGTGCAGTCAAAAGTTTTGATCAAGGCCAATTAAGTTTTTACCTTTACCCTGTGCATTACGGACTAAGATCTTTTCTAAGGATCACCAGCAAGAGTCAACAGATAAGATATGTTGCAAGCACGGTCAAAATGCACATAATAGGGATTATGGACCACATTTAAACTATGAGCTTCAAGGGCATCCTCAGAGGGATTCGTTTCTCACGTCGATTTTGTAAAATAAGCTAACCATAGGAACAGTCCTAGGCAGGACCGTCTTTGACTACGCTGAGGCCCTTGGGCACAATAATTCAGAGTCCGTTTGCAATGCTTCTTTTTTATAACGTTGGATTTTCTCCTGTGTCGTGGGTGCATTTACAAACATACAAGTTCACATACACATCACTCCCAGACCCGAAACAACAATTTGTGGATCACATAAAGATTTGTTTCGTGCAGGAATCGTCCGTCCGTCGTAGAAATTGTCGGTCCTATGGGGCCCTTGAGGATGGGGGCTCTGGGCACGGGCCCCGAGTCCTCTTATGGTAAACACGGTACTGGTCATATGGTTAGTTAATTCCACATTAATCGGCTTCTTCCTGTATAATAAGCTAGCCATAGCTATACATAGCATAGCTAGGCATAGCTTATTAAACCTCGTTAATAATTTCATGATGAGATACAGTATTTCATCATCAAATTAGTCAGTCTGTTGCTTGACTGATTGATAAATGTAATCAACCTGCTGCTTGACGACTGACTGATTGACTGAGATTAAAAATAAGAATCACCAATCCATTGACAACCTTTCCAACGATAGTGGTAGCTAAACATAACATGATTTTGGTCATTGTTTTTGTATTTGTAAATGCAAGCAAATAAACGTCTGTGGGAATTGTATCGGGAAGGAAAACGCAAAAGTAGATTACAATATTTATATTATAACTTTCGTGAGACATGCTGAATTAATGATAATGTTTTTCAACTTACTCACGTAATTATTTGACGAGGAACTCGACTAGTTTCAAGGTAGGTATTACAAGTTTAATATTCTAATCATAGCTTGACAAAAATGTTGTCACCCCTGATTCCTGATAGATTTTCAATAATAGTACTGACGGACTGACTGACAGGCTATTATTTATTTTGTATTTGTTGACGTTTCAAAAGTACCAAATTATGGTTTAATTGAAATAAATGCTTTGACTTTGACAAGTAATTATACGTCGCATTATATCATACACTAGCTACTTACGCGCGGTTTCATTCGCTCTGCTCGGCACCTATTAATCGCAGCGTGATATTTTATAGCCTATAGCCTTCCTCGATAAATGGGCTATCCAACACAGAAAGAATTTTTCAAATCGGACCAGTAGTTTCAGAGATTAGCGCGTTCAAACAAACAAACAAAAAAACCAACTCTTCAGCTTTATAATATTAGTATAGATAAATATTTTTATCCTGCTACAGCATAAAGCAGTATTTTTACTAGTCTTGGTTTTGACCACTCAGGTAACTGACATAGCAAAGCATTTGACTGTTTGTAACTTTGTATAAAATAGAGTTAAAAACTACTGAATATTTTTTATATGATCACTAGCTTCGCCCGCGACTTCGTACGCGCAATCCCGTTTTGACCCGTTCCCGTATTTTTTTCTGTCATAAGAACCTTCTCCTTACTATAACATACACAACAAAAAAAGAATTAGTGAAATCGGTCCAGCCATTCACGCGTGATGCCGTGACCAAGGGAAAAAGGGATTCATTTTTATATATGTATAGATATAGATTCCATTATGTGCATAGGGGGCTTGGGGATATTAGGACAGAGTGATCAAGAAACAGTTTGTGGCAAGCTTTCCACATTATAATGTATGGTATACCATCATCATAATCATCATCATCATCATCAGTCTGTATTCGTCCACTGCTGGACATAGGCCTCTCCATTATACCATACCATGCTTTAAAAGTACCTGTAAGCAACACCCCGTTTTTCGCAACCTGTTATTCTTCAGTTTTAAAACTTAATAAGAATCCATTACTATTTTTCTATTAGAGATCTCGACCAGAAACCCTTTAGGATTCTCTCATAGCAGACTACCAGCAATATTTGGCCAGACCTTACTCCTTTTAGAAAACAGGTGATCATCATGAATCAGGAAGTTTGAATACATAGCATTCTTATATTCGGTAGTCAACGATTTAAAAAATCACTTCCAAGTTTATGCCAATATTTAGGACGATTTAAATTAAATCATCAGAACTGAAAAATAAACACATATATAGCTCTATATAAATTACAACGTATAAAGCGACCTATGCAGATCATAAAAGAGATTCCTTTGTTAATTTTTTTTTATGAAGTAGGAGGCAAACGGTCAGACGGATCGCCTGATGGTAAGCGATCAGCGCCGCCAGAAGAAGTATTTATATGTAGAAGTTTCCAATTCAAATCTAAAAATTATGGTCCAAGCCCTAACTATACCTATAGTCTATTTCGATATCTCTTTTCTGGAAAGCTTTGTCATTTCAGATCAAGATTTTTATTCGGTTATTTCAGCAAAACAGAGACCCAATATTTTTTTTATTATATTGTGCATTGTTCCTAAATCTTCTGTGATTATTTATTGCGATTCTAAAATTGTATTCTTGTTTGATATTAGGTCGTAGTGCTGCTGTCGTGCAACCATTTTGTAAAGAGTTTGTATCTAGCTTATTATAAGCTTTCATTTAGATTTAAAGTGTTTTTCTTTTCTTTATCAAAATGACTCCATGGCGTAGATAGAAAAAGGGCAGGGTTGCACGTACTTCGGGTATAAAGAACAATCTTTGCCATGTTTAATTGGAGTGGACAATTAGGAGGATCGGACACTTGAGCTGAACAATGTCGACGACTGTATTAATTGATTAATGAGTTCATTCATGCTACTTATCAGTTTCTACAAACGCGCGTGTCAGAATATTTAGTGTGGCCGAGTGTTCCATCATTTTTGCTTTTCTCTTGGCCACCCAAAACAGTCCAAGGTCGTCCCGAACATTTTTCATTTTTTATCAATTACTTCGCAAATACATTTTCTAGACAACCTGTAGGCAAGCGCGGTCGATGTATTGATTTATTTTGACGATTTCACAACAGTGCGCTTATCTCAGCGGCTACCGCATGTACAACAAATATTATACATAAATAACTACGTTGTTTTCTTTCAAGTCATTTAGCTAACGATAGTATTGTGAGCGTGTCGACCTTCACGCGTCACTCCATAGTGTCTTGGCAGTAGGTACTCACTCTTCAGAATGTTGTGATACATTATCCTTGTCCTTGTGTGCTTGCCCCGAGCTGCAAGAGTTGCCCATGTCGTCGCCGGCTCGGCCGCGCCGCCCTTAGCTTGACATCACCCGCACCACCGCCACTTCATGCACTACACACTCTGGTCACACGTACACACGCGTCCGATCCGGCTAATATATATTTTCTTGTAATAATTTAACATTTCCCGGCGTCGCGATCGTTTCGGGCGGTAAACGGGAGCATGAGTGCGCGCGTGCAGTCGCGACGCGCGCTCGCCGCCGAATAATCGATGCGCAGTCTCCCCCGCCACACCCGCGCGCGCCTCTCGCGCGCCTGCTCATTATCTACGCTTTTCACGACACATGCCGTGATGAGAGCTTTTCAGAACCGTAGAGGTTTCCTTATTTTCTGTATTGGCAATCTTTTAATGCCGTTACTGTCAATAACGAGTAAACACTGAGATTTTACACAGAAGAACAACTTACTCCCTAAATCGATCATGTCGAGTTCAATTTTCAGAGCCTAGTCATCAATAAACTCATAGATTCTTCAGTGAAGTTAATGACATCTTGGCGGGAGATCAAAAGATTAGGCACGCTGCATCACAAATACCAGACACTTTTCTCACCGCGAATACGACAACAGATCAAATTATTTCATTATTTATGTACGGCTACGTCCACAAACGTACTTACGGAAAATCTTTATGGAAATCACGGCAACAATGATACATAGAGGTTTAATACAATTTCAAAGAAATATAAAACCTTCACGGACTATCAAGAAATGGCAGCTTCATTCGAATTTGGAATTCTTAAAATAAAATTTAATGTCGTTTGTTTCTGTCTTTCCCTGCAGCAAGTGCTCACAAGTACTGAGAACTTCACATAATTTGATTTATAATTTTAAGTAAACTGTAATATAATAAAATATTTTTCTACCGTTGGCATCATGCCCAGGTGTTTTATAAACTCTGTGAGACGGCTGAAGAGGAGTTTCATACAGGAATTTGGTGAATTTTCCGTTGAAAGTAAGTCACTTTGTATTCCAAGAATTGTTTGAAATATTTTTATACGCTGTGTAAGTGGAGGCAAGTTTGTGGTGTAGAACGATAGGAAATGAATTATTCTACGATACTCACAGTTTTTTCGTACGATTTAAACGTTTTTTCTTGTCGCAAACACTATTTTCCAAACTTTATCTTTCGAACTGTACTGACAGTGTCACTATAATTTTTTGAATAAATATATTTTTACGACGCCCAATTTAACTGAAAATGTTACATTAGAAAACGCAATGGGCGTAATGAATTGTGTTTTTTTATTATTTCCGTTAATCGTGAACTTCTAATTTACTAGGAATCGGCACTGGTTGAGGTGTGGTCGAATTTTTACGATTCTCGGAAAATTGTCGTTTCTTTTGATAATTCCTGTGTTTTTATCTGAAATATATTTTAGGGCGACGGCGTTTTATCCTTTAATATATTCGTCAAACAGATTTATTACATTTCATAAATCAATCATGACCATACAGCTATAAAATATTCTAAACGGATACCGATTACTTAAGTAGTTTAAGTTATATAAATATCCTGCATACGGCTATAGAAGATTTTGATCCATTCAACCAAAACATTCACGAAGAATCAAATTTATATAATACGAATCAAACTTGAAGTGGGCTACGTAACGAAGTATTTAATCTAATAAAGTAATACTTAACATCACACCTCTTAACCCCTAAGCAGGTAAACAGTACGTACAGTTTTAAAGTGTAGGAGCTTCGGCACGAATGGGCCGGCTCGACCGGAGTGATACCACGGCCTCACAGAAAACCGACGTGAAACAAAGTTTCGTCGTGTGAGTGAGGTTACCCGAGGCCTAGTTCACACCCTCAATCTCTGATCACCATCAGTACTCAAATTTATAATCCCCGAAAAGCCGGTAAAGAACTTTCAACGCCTCTGGTGTTCCAGGTGTCCATGGGCGACGCCGATTGCTTACCATCAGGTGATCCGTCTGCTCGTTTACATCATCACAAAAAAACACAATATATAATGTAACACCCATTTTCACCAACTACGTTATCAGTTTCCTGCAATAGCGCATGGGTATGTGTTGCCATAGTAGCTTCTGACCGCGGCTTCGCCTGCACTCCCGGTGGATAAAAAGTAGCCTACATGTTATTTCAGACTACAATCTATCCTTGTTCCATATTTCATCCCGATCCCTTCAGCCATTTTGACGTAATTGAGTGACAAACATACACACAAACTTTCACATTTATAATATACATTAACCTGTTGAAAATTGACGAAAATCATCCCCTAAATTTGTTCATACAAAAGTAGTCTCTAAACATTGCAAATAAAGTCTATAATGTAGTTGTGGAGAGCGGTCACCGGTGACCGCTTGGGGATACACGGGTTTGTATATAACATCACACCTTTTACCCCCGAAGGGGTAGGCAGAGGTGCACATTACGACACTTAGTGCCACTGTCCAATGTAACACTCCTCTTTTCACTATTTATGTTATGTATCCTATGTAATAGGGGGTGAGCCTATTGCCATATACCGAGCACAATTCCAGACTCAGTGCTATAACTGAGATTCTTTTTAAAACGCCGTAGTACTTTGCCCTGGTAATCTCCGAGACCCCTTGCCCAGCAGTCGCACTTATATTATGTATTTATAATATTAATACGATAATACCTCAGCCAAAGCTCTGCTCATCCTCTCCGATAAAAACAGCTTCATATAAAAGTTGACACGTGCATACAAAACAAACAAGTACCTACCTTTTATAAGTGCGAATTATATTTCAGAGGGACACCCTCTGTGGGCGTCGGGTAGGCGTACTAGAGGAAAAGTTACTGTAAACCTCTTAGCGTTTAGGAGGTCGGGGCAATCGTTTGATCGTTATCAATTCGTAGCTGGATTCAATGAATGGCTGACGGATATTTCTATTTTGATTGTTAAAATATCTGCGTTACATGGTTTTGCTGAAATAATTGACCTGATTTTGTCATTTTGAACAATGGGTCGTGGTCCTATACCTGTGTACTTGTCGCGGAGAACCTAACGGGTAACCGGGGCTCCGGCTCGACGTGCAGGAGAAGGAACAGGGTGGTTTTTAGTCAGTAAGAATCTGACACTCCCTTCCGCCTCACCCAGGCGGGAGCAGTAATTCGATGATTTTCCCCCCTTAAAAAAAAAAAAAATACCTGTGTACTTTCGGAGTCGCGGAGAACCTAACAGGAAACCGGGGCTCCGGCTCAATGTGCAGGACAAGGAACGGGGTGATTTTTATTCAGTAAGAGTCTGAAACTCCCTCCCGCCTCACCCAGGCGGGAGCAGTCATTCGATGATTTTCCCCCTAAAAAAAAAATACCTATGTACTTATGCGGTACAATATGTACAATGAATAAAAACAAATACTTGTACTGATACTTCATAAAGACAGCGAACAAAATATTCGAGGTGCGATTGATTAATGCTACATGTACAAGCTCTAGACAAACCTTTTTAGAATACTTAAGTAATTTTGCAAGCTTCCTCCCTTTAGTTCAATTAAACTAAGTTTACATTGTGTCCAATATATCATAACTTGCAATTTACAGACGAAATTAAATCGACACGCGTATCGAAATTAAACATAAAACGGCAGAAGAACCTGTTAAAAACGAACGAAACAATATACCATGACAAAGTGCCGATCTCCACACGATTCTACCTGCAACTGCTTAAGAAAAGTCAGTTTCTACAACATTTCCAAGAGACGGAGCCTTATGAATACGCTTCAGAGAGCGAGAAAGCAGTAAAATCACCAGAATTAACGAAAACTAAGACCTTAACGAAGAAGGACACAGATAAAACATACAATTTGAGATCATCCGAAGCAAAAACGGAACGCAAAACGTACGACAAAACGCATCGACGGAAACGCAACGGATGCGACAACGAAACGCAATCGATTTCCGAACTGATACAGGAAGTCAACAGGAAACGGAAGCCGAGGAAGGAACCTTTGGCGCCAATCATCGAAGAAATTAAGAGCAGGGAGCCTTTGAAGTTTAATAATAAAGGTTTGTTCGTATTTTATACTGATTCTTCAAAGATTTGTCTACAATCCACTGGCGGCAGTACTAAATAGGTTCATATCAATTTGTAGGCCAAAAACATTCTTTATTTTAAAACATAATGACATAACCAACGAGATCTTTAAAATGCCACACTGACGTAAATGTTTTTTCCTTTTAAAGGAAATTTTCCACATAATTACCCCGCTATCGTAAAAACCGGTAAGTACGAAAACTCTATCGCTAGCAAGAAAGCTTACAATAAGATATTTATCAAAGCTCTGGCTTTTTTAAAGTCGGTGCCGGGTAAGGACTATTCAGGCCGGCAAATGTACGTTATATAGAAATACATATTTTTTTTAATATTTGTTGGGCCGACATTTGGCCTGGTGGTAAACGATGATGCCTACGATGGATCACGTCTGCCATAAGCAACCTATTCCAACTAAAATATTTCTACTTCTTAGCAGTACGCACAAGGAAACTTGATGCGAAGCGCTTCGTGCGTGTGGGTGGGACATCTACCATGAATCGGTGACGCTTCGCTGATTGTCTTGTGGTATGATGATGGAAAGAGCTAGGGGGAATTAAGTTGCGCAATTCCCCCGCACACTCCCCGAAATGTATCCGGTAGAAAACCGAAAGGCTTGCAACCTTACGCCTGTGTTCGAGGCTTTGAAGCCGGGCCTCCACAAGCGCATCATCGTTGATGAGCCTCTTGGCACATAATTCGAAATAGTTAGAACAGGTACATTAGAAAGTAAACGTACCTTTTCACTAGACTATATATTTTATCGCCACGTAACTGGCACCAGTTAATTTGGAAACCGCAGCATATGGAGAGATATCAAGAAGTTTTGTAGCAGTATATTCACATTTATTTGTCACAGGTGGTTCAGAAATAGACAAGATAGCGGAGAAACTGAAGAGCCTCGTGAAGGCCAGTGCTGATGAGAAGCTGGACAAGGAACTGCTCACCTGCACCGAGTCCTTCGACAAGGATAGTGTGGATAGTGTAGATAAGGAGGATGCCAAGGAGAATGGTGAGTTAGTTTCCTCTCGTTACATTTAATTGACTTACATGTTACATTCAATATTTATATGTAGTGATGTCTTGTTTGTTGGACTATCGGGCGGTGCCGTCATATACCATAAACAATTTCCTAATAGTATAATTCGTTAAACAATTTGATAGTTGACAGAAATATCTTTCATCAAAACCTAGTCGCCTAGGTAGAGATATTTCTGTAAAAAAATCTACTCTTGTTTCTTTGTTTTATAGACCCTCTGCCTTCAATTTTTGCTTTTATAGAAATACATAAACAATGAAAAGATCTTTTCTTTTCTTTAAGAAAAAATACCTCTAAAACAACAGAAATGTTTAAGAGAATTTTAAAACAATAGCAAGTGAAATATATATTCTAATTTGAATGCTTGACCTCTGTAAACTGGAATATATTTCGTTGTGTCACTGAAATGAATATAGAAAAGTTTTGTACCCAGGACGCTCCCTTGGGGAACGCCTACAGCAGAGCAAAACTTGAACGGACGACGCCTTAAAATAAAACTAAATAAATAAGCAGGTGTCGAGAATCGAATATTCTTTGGTGTGCCACATTAATCATGCAAGCCAGAAATGTCCGATAAAGTATCTAGGAGTTGTTGAATCGTGACTTTTCTCTAAGCCTTTTTCTACTTCAGTTCGGTTCAAACTAACCAAGATTTGAATTGTGGCTACTATTTTTGATAAATATTTGTACGTCACACACTGCGATTGCTCTTTTTAAAGATTTTCGCGCAGAAGACGCTTCTGAAAACTATCATTTCAAAGCTGTTCGTTCCATCAGAAGTTAATCACTAAACTTATTTAAAGTCTAAAGATGCTTGCCCAGTTGGTGTAGTCACTACACTGGTCATAGCCCGTGGTCTATTGCGCAATGTGACGTGAGTTTGAAGCACCGCATGGAACAACTTTATGTGTGGTCCTCAAATTGGAATTATTTGTAAACGCACACATGTCATAGCGAAAAATAACTAGCCGCTGTTATTTTTTCCCTTAGAAATGCAAGATGTCCGTGATTGGTCGGAGCCGCGTCGTTGCGCGCGCGCTACGCACACGTGCTCCTATTGCGGGAAGAGTTTCGACCGGCCTTGGGTACTGAAGGGACACCTTCGTTTACACACCGGAGAGAGGCCCTTTCCGTGCCCTCATCAACATTGCGGAAGAACTTTTGCTGATCGGTGAGTTAGTAGATAGAGTATATTTTAACTTGTTTGTATATCGTCGTAATTTTAAATTGTTGAGGTTGAGGACCTCAACTTGTGTTTTGTCTTCTTTGTCTACCTCAACTTGAGGTAGACAAAGAAGACATAGAAGTCTGGATAACCACCTCCGAAAGAAACAGTTGGTCATACACCCGCCCTATCTCCACTATTGCTATGTTATCGTTGATATCAGCCAGCAAGTCACTTCTAATTCTTCAAGAGTGTTGGGTGTATATTGACAGCGCTAATTGCTTATCATGTGTAAAATATAAACCTTTTATGTACCTTCAGTTCAAACCTCCGCGCGCACCAGCGCACGCGTGGGCACCACTCGTGGCAGTGGCGCTGCGCCGCCTGCGACAAGGCGTTCAGCCAGCGACGGTACCTGGAGCGACACAGGGACGATGCGTGTCGCAAATACAAGTAAAGTATATTTTGTACTAGCTTTTACCCGCGGCTTCGCTCGCGTCACAAAAGGATAAAAAGTAGCCTATGTGCATATACCAATACACACAGCGCCATCTATACCAATAATTTTGTTTTCCCTCGAGAATATAAATTTTCCGGGATAAAAAGTACCCTATTATTTAATCCGGACTTTTAACTTTACGTCTGCAAAAATTCAAAGCAATCGGTTAATTAGTTACGGCGTGAAGGTGGAACAAACAAACAAACAAACTCACTTTCTGATTTATAATATTAGTAAGGATATTAGTAAGGATAATAAAAATATGCAATGCCATAATTATTATTGACTGCATGGTTGGTGCGGTTGTTGGGCAACTGGCTGCCGCGCCACGTGTCGCGGGTGCGATTCCCGCACGGAACAACTCTTTGTGTGATCGTTTGTTTGAATTTGAATCGTGAACAACATATTGTTATTCCGGGTCTGGGTATGATGTGTATGTGAACTTGTATGTTTGTAGATGCACCCACGATACAGGAGAAAATCCTAGTATGGGGCAACTTATATGTTTTTTTAAAAAAAAAGAAAATAAGTACTTATTAATTAGTTGTTACTTTTTTTGAAAGGAGGTATTTCTTAACTCAAATCCAATGTAATAGCGAATCCTTGTAGTCCTAAAGTTTTAATTCTAAACTTGAATTGAGCACAAAATAGAGGTAAACTAATGACAATTTTGAACCTCATCATTTCTACATAAGGATGTAAATAGAAGTACACTGTTTAAGCTACAAATGCCTGCAATATTTTTTTAATAAGAAAAGACACTTTAACCAATCATAACGATTTTTCGTAGTTTTAATATATTAATCCCATAACGAATAGCTCCTAACATTTCCCCAGGATGCACACGCGAAACTCGACAAAATACAACAATACTTTGAAAGTGGTGTCGAAGACTGTGCCCGCGCAAGTTCCAATGTACGGTATTATAAGGCACAATCCAGAATCGAAGGTGGGACCGGAGGGAACTGGGGAGTGCTGCGAGGGACCCATCGACCTCTCTATAGGGAAACGGAGGATTGAGGAGGATGTAGTTTAAGATTGTCTCTGCAATTGTTAATATTAAATAGTGGACTGATTAATATTAAATAGTGGACTGATTATTTATTTTTATTTTGTTTTATTTCTCATGTCTTCTCTTCTTGTCGGATTCGTATGTAGGCCCAGCGTACACCGGCGGAGGCGCGGCGAAGATACTGATAATAAATCATTTTAAAATAAACCTTAACTGGTATGTTATACGCATGAAAATGACATGTTTTAGTGAGGGGCGCGCGGTGCGATGTTTCTTTTTGTCATAGAAACCGCCAGCAGCACTCTGGAAAATAAACCTTTCAAGATGCGATTTCTAACTCGCTTGCCAAGCGTAGGGGTTAGGGCAAGCCCTTTAATGTGGCTCTTATATAAAGAAAGCCCTTAGTCAGTTCATGACTGCATTTATTTTTAGTTCATGACTGCATTTATTTTTAGTTCATGACTGCTTTCATTTTCAGTTTATACATTTGCTATCTCTCAGCCGAAGCGGTCGGTGAGACCCTTAGTACATACTCTAAGGTGAAACCACTGCAGGGCAAAGGCCTCCCTACCCTGCCTACTTTATAAATATTAAGAAATGTAGGGAAACTAGGAAACTAGGTACAAGGGTTTTTAACAAATAACCACAAAAATTGTTGAGAAATATTATTTTAATTACAATATAATAATAAATAAATACATTTTGTACAACTTAGCGTCACAATGTTATTATATCTAAGCATTCGTTTGAGGTTACGACTGCGAATCATACAAACATTTCATCATTTTACCCGACTACGAAACAAAGATGGGTAATGAGTTTTCAATATGAATCTTTTACCTCTTATGTGTAGATGGAATTACAAAACCTGTTCATCAATTGAAATAAATTCATTTTAATTAGTGTTATTAAATTTATTGCTGTTAAAAAACCGGCAGATCTATGATTTAAAACTCGAAAGTTCCGTTCAAGCTCGAAACCTTTCGATATACACCGAAATAATACGAGACTAAAGAGAACACAAATAAAACAAAATTATTTCAATTGTGTTCTTTTGCACATAAGAATAAGGTCTAAAATCGTTGACACAAACGCCATTTTGACCTCTTAAGAGGTAGGCAGAGGTGCAATATACAATACAATAACACCCACTTCATCGCGGTTATGTAACAAGTCCCATGTAATGGTAAAATCGTAGTTTTAACCTCAAATTGAACATTTTGAACACAGCATTATATAGTAAAGAAATAAAAAAATATTCACATTAATATGATCAAAGCCTACTTGAAGCTAATTTCATTAAAATTGTATAATATATGAGATGCATTAAAAGATAATGGTAGTAGTGGAATTGTTTAAAAAAGGTGATTTTTATGTGAAAGAGAATCGTTTTGGTATAAAATATATTTTCTTTTGATAACCAGTCATGATGCTGAATTATTGTTTTTTTTTTGTTATTTATTCTAAACGTGCTTATTTTTTTTAATATAACGCCATGTTTTTTTGTCCATGAAGGCATTAAAAACGTATTTTTTTACGTTACGTCAGGGTAACGCAATTTTTTTTAATGAACACTGATTTTTTACTTTTTTTATAAATTTTACGTGCTATTTGTTATTATTATATTTTTTTGGTGATATAATCTTGTAAATCATACTATAACCAGAGTTAATAGTACTTTTTGAATTATCGATGAGTAAATATGATTTTTAAAGTTCATTTTAATTAAGGTTCTCTTCAAAATTGTATAGAAAATATACCTTATATATAAACGACTTCTTTTTCATACAAAATCACTTTCCAATAGAGAGCGACCAAATATTTAGACGCGTTCTATGATATGAGTAGCTTAAACAAATGGAAATGATTATATTGGCACTTGACAAGGCGATAATGAACATTAAACCGAAGCCATAAAGTTGTTTTTTCACTGCACCAAACACTCATGTACGTAAAAGCTCTTTTTTTAAACATGGTCATTGAAAAATTTACTTAGACGGCATACAAACAAAGTCGATTTTTCTACAAAGAGCGGTTAAGCCTCACGTGATTTTCTCAACTTTTTGATTAAACATTTGCCATTGAAAAATAGACTTACAAAGCCTACAACAAAAGTTGATATTTGTTCGATTATGTGACTTATGATAACGTTATGAAGGCATATTAATTTCGTAAAAGACATTGTTTGGCACTTTATTGTTAAATAGTTGACACATTTTAAATTGACTTCAAATAACATACGTAGACGGGGTAAGCAGAGGTGTATTGTCTGCAGTAACTTAGCATGCAGCAAAGATAGACTCAGTACAGAGATAGTAACACACACACGGTCACTTCAACCAACCAATATGGTTACTGTCTCTGTATTGAATGAATCATTATTTTCTTCGCTGTGCTGACTATACATATACATTTAACACCTAATTTCCACCACTTATGTTATGAGTCCCATGTAATAGGGGGTGACCCTATTGCTCTATCAACACAATTCCAGACTCCAAGCTGCTAAGCTTTTCTGTAACTTTCATTTCGAAAGATTGAAGTGAACTACATCGTCCTCAATGTCATTGGTTTTGAGAACAATCTCGACCAATGACGGACCAGAATGTGATCGAGCTCACTTCAAAAGTTCTATAGGTCCGAGGCCTTAGTAAAGTAATCGAAACGAGACGGCGTTCTGTGCTCTGATTGGTTGGTTCATTAGAGCCGGCCAATCACAGCGCCGAACGCGTACTCGTTACGATTACTTTATACGAAAGAGAAATTCGTACTAAGGCTTCAGTTATAGAATAGCGCAGCTGTTATATATTGCGAAATATCGCAATTATACTTTGCTTAAGTCAGCAATCGAATATAAGACCGTCTTGCTCAACCAACGAGGTAGATGTTTTAAATTGGAACATGTCTATATTTATAAATAAGCATGAAACTAAAAATACGAATACATCTCTTGGCAAAAATGGTTAAAAAATAAAAATTATATTTAAAATTATTATTTTAAGTAAATGTATGAATTCACAGCAATGACTAGTATGGAAATGAAATGAGACAAATTAAACTAAAGATATAATATATGTATGTGGAAGTACAGGATGTTGTTTTTACTGAGTCATACATAAAACCTGCTATTTGGAAAGAATTTACAAGCGATTTTTGGTATTTATTGAATTTAGAACCATTTGACATAGTAAATTAATGTCTGATTAACGTTGAAACTATTATAAATATTATTGGCATTCAATATTTAAATGCCAATAATTGATAAAAATATTTATAACATCATTATTAATGTACGAACACATAGGTATAAGGATTTACATGGGATATAGGACTTGGCTTTTGATGATGATGATAGGACTTAGGACATAGGACATAGGTATTATTAAGATATAAGGATTTTTAGGTAGTAGATATGCACCCTAGTAATCATGTAAACAAAAGAGAAAGGTTTAAAAACCAACATTCTGTACTTGAACTGCAATAAGGAAACTTAAGATACGTAACAACAAATGTACAAATACCTACATAGTTAGAATGTTTACGTATATCGATCGGCCACGTACTAACAAGCCAGATTATTATTTTTAATATATTTATTAATGCAAAAATGAAACGAGAATGTATTTTTATGGCATAAGCTTCACACGACGAAACACAACGCAAGCGTTGCTTCACGTCAGTTTTCAGCTCAGCCGGCCCAATGGCGAAGCATGGCTCTCCCACACTTATTGAATGTGATAGAATATTTTCATTTAGACTATTTACTACATTATCACACATAACACATAACATCACGCCTTTTATCCCCGAAGGGGTAGGCAGAGGTGCACATAGAAGTAACACCCACTTTTCACTATTTATGTTATGAGTCCCATGTAATAGGGGGTGAGCCTATTGCCATATACCGGGCACATTTCCAGACTCCGTGCTACTACTGAGAGTTTTAAGAAACCCAGTAATACTTTGCCCGACCCGGGAATCGAACCCGAGACCCCTTGCCCGGCAGTCGCACTTGCGACAACTCGGCCAACGAGGCAGTCATCTAGATTAACTAGGCAGATCAACTAGATTATCATTGAATGTATAATAATCAGCTGAACAGACAAAGTTCGTACAGCGCCGATGTTTTTTTCTCATCTATTAAACCTTCCTTGGTCTTTCACGAACATTTCGACCAAAGACCAAAATCAGTTCAGCCGTTCTCGAGATTTAGCGAGATTGGCTTTATATTTTATTTTATGGAATAAGCCGGTAAACGAGTAGATATGGGTAGCAATCAGCCCCGCCCATAGACACCTGGACCACCAGAGGCATTACAAGTGCGTTACCGGCCTTTTGGGGATTAGGAATTTGAGGATTTTTGGGGATTCAGGGATTGAGGAACCCCCTTCCTCATTGGTTTATTTACATTATTATTTAAGTAAACTTTAGGAAATCCTACTTATAAACAAGATGAACTCTTTGAATTACATAAATTATGACACTTTCGTAACTAAAGCAATTTTAGAAATGAAAACTATTATTACATTACGAAATAAAAAACAATGTAGAAGCTTGCGTTCCGCGGCCGATCATGAAGAAAATAAATAATAAAAGCTACTAATTACAACAATAATAATAATTAATAATAATTTAAAAACGAGACACAAATACAAAGGCACCTCTCTATTTATAAATGCACTTCTTATTGCTGATTATAATATAATTATATTATTTATTTATTATTATATTTAATTTAATATTTATATTGTATAACAGATCATTTACTATTTAATGAAGTTCGGTAAGTATTGTATTTATTAAGATTTTGTTTCTTTAATATTTTTAGTTGATTTTTTTTATAGTGTGATTTGTATTAAAGGTGAATGCATACTATTGTTACGATCGAATACTGAATTTTAAGTTGTACTTAAATATAACATAACATAACATCACGCCTTTTATCCCCGAAGGGGTAGGCAGAGGTGTACATTATGCCACTGCAATGTAACACCCACTTTTCACTATTTATGTTATGAGTCCCATGTAATAGGGGGTGAGCCTATTGCCATATTACGGGCACAATTGCAGACTTCGTGCTACTACTGAGAATTTATAAAAACTCAGTAGTACTTCGCCCGACCCGGGAATCGAACCCGAGATCCCTTGACCGGCAGTCGCACTTGCAAGCACTCGGCCAACGAGGCAGTCGAGTTAAATATACCATCTCTATCATTTTACAAAGAATTTATAGTGACAGAACTATACTTAAACGGGACGTAAAATTGAGTGACGTGTGAGTATTTCAGCGTAAACATTTAGTTTCTTCAGCCAATCAGATTCGTTTGAGTAAGATTATATTTTAAGTAAATGTTTAATTACTTTTCTCAAGCAACCAGCTGCTTATAATATTAAAATGAAATTAATATAGGAGCTAGACCATTAATATACTCCAAAATATAATCTTAGCAAATTAGTTCTCACTAGACGGCGCCACTATCGACTAAAGTCATGTCAGTCCAATCACTTAATAAATATGACGATGTTATATAAACTATTAGGTTAGAGACCTTAATCTATAGCAGCGCCCTCTAGCGGTGATAAACAGAATAGCTTGCTAAGTAGAGCCAGAAGTGACCATATACAATGTAACGCTTAACTTACCGAACTTCACATAAAAAAACATTCTACACAGACAAACAAGCGAAACCACGGACAAAAGCTAAAAGCTAGTCAAATTATAATAATAATAATAAGATCATAATTTAATAATTTCATTATAAACCTTACGTTAAGGTGGTTAAAGTATAAAATTGTGCGATACATAATTGTATACATTGGACGTTTTCGAACTAAGGATGTAGATTAAAAATAATATTTTTTTTTTAATATGAAAAATCGATTCTTTTTTACAACCAACAGAATTGTTTCAAGGAATATATTTTGACATTACCTACGAAATTACGTCACTTTCATTCAAAATTCGTCATAATAATTTTTCTATGAGATATACAGAATGTTAAGGAACGGATTTTCGATACCATACCTACATGAAATATTACGTTACACCTTTCATTTTACCAAAATAAAATACATTTTGACTCATAGACGTAAAAACCTACTATGACACTGTTATAGATTTCGACATACATACATAACATCACGCCTGTCTTCCCCAAAGGGGTAGGCAGAGGTGCACATTACGGCACTTAATGCCTGTTATAGATTTCTGTAAATAAATAAAACATTTATGTAGGAACGTAGGTATGTATATAAAAATAATGACTTGTTAGCTACAAAAGCTACATACAGTGTATATTTTTGAGGAATATCGGTACGAAAATTCGAAATGGTAGGAACCAAAGATATTTGAAAAAGGTTCTTTTAACAATTAAATACTTCATTGAATACCTTGACATATAATTATGTATCAAGCATTGTCAATAGCACATCAAGGGTAACTAATTGATATAGGATAATAGTTCTTATTTTGATATCGACAAGATTTATTATTGTATGCAGTAACTTTATGCGGTAATATTAAATCTGGAATTGATTTTTTTTTTAATAGTTGCTTATATTTTGACATATGGGGTGTGCAAAAATAGTTATGATGCAAATTTTTTGAAATTGGAAATGCTTATTCCGCCTTGTTTGAAAGCCAAATAAAAAAGCTTAAACTTAGTAATCGTAAATTCAAATCTGCTGCATGCTATTTTGTTTATATGGCACTTGGTAATACTGTTTGAAATTATACCTTATTTCCAAAACATAAGGTCTAGTTTTACGTGATTTTGTAAATGTTTTGTCAAGTTACTGCATATTATAATAAATTAAAGAAAATAGTTTTTATAGTTACCTTTAACGCACTATTAACAATACGTTTTTCATATAAATTATACCTTATACGCATAATGACTGGCATACAGCTAATTTTGGTATAAACTTTAAATTTTCATATAATTATATCAATTTTAAACTTCCCTATAAAGTCTTATAATTTCGCATCGGTATAGAATTTAAAATTTAAAAAGAAAATACATTTAAGTATAAAAGACAATATAGAAAACCAACATTTTTTCAACACAAAAAATCGAACATAAAACACTATAATTCGCAATCGCAATAGCAACTACATAAACACAAAAATAAATTACTTTTTATACCAAACTCACATAAACCAGTGTTCATATAATAAGACTTTATAGGAGGTAATTATGGCTAGTTAGTGTTAGACCTAGTCTAGGTATTTACATTATAATGGCGGCGGCTCACGGATCCCCTCGCTGTGTCTCGTGCGGCCTGCCATGTCCAGGATCGCCTTCGCTTCAGGATTCACGTCCAGAACACTCAGATCCCTTTCGTCCTGCAAAACATTAAATAAAATGATAGTTTTAATAAAATCGTGTTGTGGTTGTGATCAAAATCTACGTAGGAAGTACTTTTATATGGATATTAGTAAAAGTAGTAGAATATAACATACGAATGGATTTCAAAATCCATTAGATTTGAGGTAAAAAAAATATAATAGCAAAAAAATAGTTATCTAGGTATAACAATAATTTCTAATTAATTCTTTGTATAATTTCCTTTTTCTAAATACGTAATACTTATTAGATAACTGGGATATATTATTATTATATAAGCCGGTAATCGAGCAGACGAATCACATCGGCTATAACAATAATCTAGGTATAACAATAATTTCTAATTAATTCTTTGTATAATTTCCTTTTTCTAAATACGTAATACTTATTAGATAACTGGGATATATATATATATATTATAATATATATATATATATATATATATTTTATATATATATATATTATATATATATATATATATATATATATATATTATTATTATTATATAAGCCGGTAATCGAGCAGACGAATCACATCGGCGTCGCCCATGGACACACGGATAACCAAGGTGTTACATGTGCATTACCGGCCTTTTAGGGATTAGGAATTTGAGGATTGTTGGGGATTCAGGGATTGTGAGATTGGAGAAGAGGGGAGGGAGATAATTGGGCCTCCGGTAACCTCAGTCACACGAAAAAACACAACGCAAGCGTTGTTTCACGTCGGTTTTCTGTGAGGCCGTGGTCAGCGGCCGAACCGGCTCATTCGTGCCGAAGCATTAACACTTACTCGGACTTTTCGGAATAGTGGATTTAAGTTATATAAAGATACAATCAAATCTACTGTACAATAATACTATACAACAACTTAACTATATTAATACAAACATACGGCCAGTTTATTACTAAAATATATACATTTAATAATCATTATACTATTTCAAATATTACTTGTATTTAGTACAAGATCAAATGATTATAATAACTATCGTGATACAATAAATCGCGGGTTACTCACATGAAAATACTGAGAAAAGCTCTACTAGTTTCGAGCCGCAGAGGGAGTCTTCCTCATGAGCAGCTTGCGCGGCGATGTCGCGCAGTCATAATTTTTAATTAATGTAGATGAAATGATCTCGTAAATTAAATACTTTATTTAATAATTCATACCTTGAAAACATCTTCATTGTTATTATAAATTCAACCATTTACATTTTTCTTCGATATTTTTAGGAATTTTAACTTCTGAAATTCTGACTTCATGTTCTAACTTCAGAACTCGTAACTTTTAAAATTAATCGTTAATTTCTATATACTATGATCAATACTTGACCGATTTCTGCCTTCATGAGGCTTCCGACTTCACGTTCTAATATCCTGACTTTAAAACTCATTAAAGTATTTACAACAACTGCTTCAGTTTGTCAAATTCAACTATAATATAATATGTTCAGTATCTATGAGACTTCAAACTTCGTGATCTAACATTCTGACCTTAGAATCTGTTCAAATGTTTATTAGTATTATAAATCCGTCTTTATACATTATTATCAGACTTCTAACTTCAGACGTTCTGACTTCTAACTTCGTAGTCTAACATTGTGACGTCAGAAGGTGTTCAAGTCATAATATCCGATGTTTTTACTTGGATATTTGCCACAGATCTTTAGGAATGCTCGGTCGGGTTGGTGAGGGTCTAGTACACTCTTACTGCTCTTCGTTGTCACCAGCTGAGAGGGAATAAGGATAGGAATTAGGGTGGGATGGGAATCGTCTAGAATTTCTTTCTTTATTGAAAGAGTTTCCTTTAATTTATTACAAAGAGTTTCCTTTTTCTTGTATGGAAGCACTATTTTTATGGATTGTCAGTATGCATATGTGAGCACCATGTTAGACTATGAGTTTTTTATTTTATTTTAGTAAGTTTTGTAATTAGTATAATGTTTCCAGCGTGTATTTGCATTGTTCTCACATATACGTACAGTATTGGAATATGTATCAGAGACATTATAAAACATACTTTTTAAAAAAGAGTATCGAACTGAGTTTTTTGCTCGTTCTTTTCCATTCGAATCTACATTTTGGTATGAGCACCTAGCTTCACTGACGGACTGACTGACAGACTATTATTTATTTTGTATTTGTTGACGTTTCAAAAGTACCAAATTATGGTTTAATTGAAATAAATGCTTTCACTTTGGTTCTAGAAGTAATTTTTTCGTTCTAGATTTATTTGTCTGCAACAGGATAATGTTTTATGCGTCCTGACGATTATGAAGTCATGTTTATCCAGAGTAAGTTTTAAAATAGCCTGTATCCTTTTACGAGTAAGATTCAAAGTAAGTTTGGAGTCGAAACAGGCACATCGTGTTCATGTTATTGTGTCAAATTGTGTTAAATACTGAGTAAATGCAATTAAATAATTTATCATTTTATTAATTTGTGAAAGTATATGATTTTAATTCGTGTGATTCACAAATAGTTGTTCCTGATCTCGATGTATGAAGATATGAATGTTTGTAAAAGCAACCGCGATGCAAAAACCTAGAGTAGGGTCACGTAACAGTAGAAAAAAATTAAGAACAGAACATTAATACTCACAGATTCCTTCAAAGACATAGGTTTGTCACCGACGCCCCAGACCTCCAGGCTCTTGATGCGGAAGTTAGGTTCCTTGCTGAGTCGCTTGTACCCCTTGTAAGTACTACAGGACTCCGCCGACGAACCCTCGCCGAACGGGTCGCCATTCACCCAGATAGCACCAAAGTGAAATTGTCCGCCCATTAACTGGAAATATTAACAATTATTACGTCGCATCACACATCGTCAGCCTATAAGTGCCCACTGCTGACCAAAGGCCTCTTTTCACACGGAGAATGTTTGAGCATTAATCACCACGCTTGCTCAATGCGGGTTGGCGATTTCAAACTTATAATTAGAAATTATAAGCCCAGGTTTCCTCACAATGTTTTCCTTCACCGTCTGTCAGTGGTGGCTAAATAATCTTAGAAAGTACATATAACTCGGAAAAAGTCACATTGGTACTTGCCGTTGGTAGGTTTCAAATCCGTCATGCATGAGTAGCGGGCGTCTTAAACCTCCGGGCCACCTAGTCACTACTTACCTTCAAGTGATCCGACTGCTCGTTTACCGACTTATCCCATTAAAAAATCTCCCCAATCCCTGAATCCCCAGAATCCTCAAATTCCTGCTTCTATATAAGGCGGCCCCACATGGAACACTGTTCTCATCTTTGGGCGAGGGCACCCCAGTACCAGCATCTTCCTCTGGACCGCATTCAGCGGCGTGCCGTTCGGATTGTTGGATGTCGGAATGTTTCAAACCCGCTAGGCACTTTGGCAATGCGTAGAGACGTAGCTTCATTGTGCATTTTCTATCGCTTATACCACGGGGAGTGCTCTGAGGAATTGTTTGACCTGATACCTGCCGCATTTTTCGCCATCGACCCTCACGACAGCACATTGGCACGCCACAACTGTACGCTTCTCACGTAGCTTCCTGCCTCGCACAGCAAAACTGTGGAAGGATCTGTCGTCGGCGGTATTTCCAAACCGATACGACCTTCAAACCTTCAAGAAAAGAGCGTATTCCTTTTTAAAAGGCCGGCAACGCACCTGTGACTCCTCTGGTGTTGCGGGTGTCCATGGGCGGCGCTGATCGCTTACCTTTACCATCAGGTGATCCGTCTGCTCGTTTGCCTCCTATTCCATAAAAAAAATCCTAATCCCAAAGGGCCGTTAAAAAAACTCACCAATCCATTAGGCAGCGTCTTAGTATGATGGTTTATGTACTGATAGTGGTTGTTGTACGTAGTGGCTGGGTAGACGCGCATCTTGGGAGCGAGGGTGAACAGGAACGACTCATCAGTGCCCACGAAGTTGGGGCCCAGCGACCATGATGCAGGGGCGTAGCCTCCGAAGATGTAGCCTGAGTTGTCCTCAATTATTAGGAGAGAAGCGCCCTGGTCTTGGATACGGCCTGGAATTGACAATTTGTTTGTAGTTTTTTTAAATGTATGTGTGAATTTAGAGAGTATTTATTGAGTTTCGAACTTTTAAATTCGAAGCGCTTAATTTGTTGAAAGATCATATTATTATAATAATGGGCACCTTGAGGCGAGGTGACGGGCATTAGCGATCCCGCGGGCTACCATCATCCCGAGTGCTCCAGGGAGAAGTCACCGTTCCTTCTTCTCCGGCTTGCCTTAATTGGCTGGCTGGAGTGAAAAATGACAAGGAACAGGTCTCCCACCTCTGGCTTGCCTTCATTGGCCGTCCAGAGTGGAGTCGCGAGAGCAGTGAACCTGCTCGGAGGGTAAGAAACTATTCGTAAGTCGCGAGTGGGCCAGGGATGCAGGAGGCTTCGGCTGGAGCAGATGATCTGAGTAGAAAGCGGTGGTAGTTTCTTAACCCTTCAGCCACTCACATTCTCGTTGTCCCTCTGTTGCTATATCTAGCAACCATTTCCGGGGCCCGGTCGGTGAGTTGGCGAGTCTCCGCCTGCCATTTTTACGTGTAAAAATTACATTGTTTCGGCAGGTGCCATAGTCATCCATAGTTCCCAATTTACCAGTCCACAGCAACCCATCCATAGCCCTACCTTTTTTTTTCCATTATCCACAATAGTCCTACACTAACCGGAGACTGTCCTTGGGTGAATTTCCATAGTGCATACAGGGATAGTCGCCGGTTTGTGTGTCCATTACATTCATATTATAGTTGTCTAAAGGGCCTCTGCGCAGTTGGCTTCGGCCCCTCGTACGCCTCCCAAATGACCGGGACCCTGTGGTCCCGTGAATGGTAAAGACATACATAATAATAATACGTTTATTTGTTAGAATATTGTTACAAAGGTGTTACAAATAAATTAATGTTCTGAATATTCTGCTGTTTCCAGCGTACAAATATTAAAAGTTAGAATTAAAATAAGACAGGTAAAAACATACAATCAAAAATAAAAAATTGCATAATATGGACGATTAGTTATCACAATGTGGATCTATCACAATGTGAATATAGATCCCAATGTGGTTCGAAACTAGTCGAGCATACTCGAATTGAAGTTGGCGTTTGAATAAGCTGTAAATATTATACAACTCTTCGGCTTTTTTGTGATATAAATAAACAAATACAAACACAAAAAAAATAAACCAACTTAAAATTGGATTTAGTCCTACATTCTATTAAAATAAGGTCAAAAATCGATAAATTTTAAAGAATAATACTAATTGTACGTACCGGTCATGGTGGAGAATGACTCGCCGTGTATGTGTGAGGAGAACAGGAACCTCCACTTGTCCTGGTGTTTTTGCGGGATGTGACTGTTCAGCCACACTATGTGCGACAGGTCTATGAAGGCTGGGTAGTCCGGCATCGAGTCTAAACCTGGGTAAAGAGAGAGAAAAACCATGTGTATGCTAAGTAATAACACTACACGCTACAGAAAATATTGATGATACTTATTTCGCAGTATTTTTTTTAAGGGGTAAAAATATCGAATGACTTCTCCCGCCTGGGTGAGGCGGAGTCTTACTGACTACACACTAAATATCACTTCGTTCCTTCTCCAGCACTTCGAGCCGGAGCCCCGGTAACCCGCGACGGTATAAACCAACTATTTTAAGGATATGAACTGAAGAATTCATCCTTGTATTAAGCGGACTGGAGCGGACATACTTTTACTAAGCATAACGCGAGACGTCTCGCATATGGAAATAATGTTTCAGTAGATCTCAGGTCTGTTTTATAATTGACTGATTAAATTCTGGTAATTATTCAGTATACCGACAAATTACTTAGCAATTTATTAGATATCAACTATATTTATTAATAACTAGCGACCTGCATTTCCATTAAGAATCACTCTATCTTTAAAAAAAACGCATCAAAATCCGTTGCGTAGTTTCAAAGATTTAAGCATACATAGGGACAGAGACGGCAGATGACTTTGTTTTATACTATATGTAATGATGATGCATCGTTGTGAAAAATTAAACCGTCACGTGAGACCCTCGAGAAACTACAAAACAATTTTTAATAACTTTACCTATAGGTAACGGCATAAGACAGGGCTCCGCCCTCGCCACCGGCCCGGGACTCTCGTCGCCAGTCTTCTTATTGATGCCGTACAGGTTCACGAACACCGCCTCCGTCATCTGACGCAGTAACGTGTTGAGCTGTAGCCTGCAATACAATAATATCAACAGATTTCAATCCACTATCAATACAATACTAAGCCAGCACTGATCAAATCATTTTAAGTATTAGACAGCCATGTTTCGGCACGAACGGGCCGGCTCGACCGGAGTGATACCACGGCCGAGTAGAAAACCGACGTGAAGCAACGCTTGCGTTGTGTGTCGTCGTGTGAGTGAGGTTACCGGAGACCCAATTACTAATATAATTTTCAAAAGTAGGTACTTAATTAATCGAATTGAATTAATTTGACTTTGACTTCAAATAACTACGCAAGAAGCGTTACAGATACACTAACAAAATGAAAAAAAAATCAAAGTGCCAAGTACGCACTACTATCGCATTCGGAACGTAATAGTATCAAGCGCGTTCGTCGGTTTCATTTGAGCGCCAAATGCGCTCTACTGTTGTGGTGGCCCGGAGGTTTAAGGAGCCCGCTTCTCATGCATGAGGGTTCAAAGCCTACCAACGGCAAGTACCTATATGAATTTTTCCGAGCTATTCGTACTTTCTAAGATTATCTAGACATCATTGACCAACGGTGAAGGATCATCGTGAGGAAACCTGGGTTTATTATTTCTAATTATAAGTTTGTAATCGCCAACTCGCATTGAGTAAGCGTGGTGATTTATGCTCAAACATTTTCCGTGTGAAAAGAGGCTTTGCTCAGCGGTGGGTATTTATGATAGACCTAGAAACAAACAACTAGTAACATATAACAATTAATACACTCTGTAAAGTTCCACTTACCATTTGTTAAGCTGGTTGGAGGTGCAAGCGTTGAGCGTGACGTCAGCGTCCCCCTCGACGCTAGCCGCGATGGCCTCCCCCAGCGCCTGGACGTGCGACGCGCGTCCACGGAACCCCTTGTTGATCCACGTCTTAGCTCGGCTTGAGGACGCGGATTTTAATACCTTTATGTATGTTGAGGCTATGCTTTCGCAATACTGCGGACAAAATGAGTATGTTTAGACTCTTTAGTTTAGTTTGCGCTGGTAGCGTATATGGTGGTGAAGCTACTGCGTGGCGTAGCGCATAATCCGCGAGTGCTGCGACACTGTGTAGCTGCGTGTGCCGGACCGGTATGTGTGGAGGCGGAGACGCCCGCCTCTCCTCGCTGTGTCTGCGGCCAGAACCAACTTGCTGGCAAAGGATCCCCTCACTAGAGCCATAAGTGTCTTGAACCAAGTTCATGAAAGGGTAGATGTGTTGGGTTAGGGAATTCGTAAAAGTTATCTTTGTGATTTTGTTATGTTTGGACGTAGATTTAGTTTTAAGGCCTAGCTATCGCAATGGAGAAACCTCTCATGATAGATTAGGTAAGGTTATATAAATAACAAAATAAAACAGTAACACTTTTACCAATTAAATTTTTCGCAAATTGCACGGACAAGGAGAGCTGCGACCGTAGTCAAAGATGTGCTGTTAGAGGCTTACGAGGAGATAGAAAAGGGCTGATAATCGTGATGAATATAATTTATATTTTATGCAAATAAAAATGAATTTCCATTCGTAAGTCTCGCTAAAACTCGAGAACGGCTGAACTGATTTGGATAATTTTAGTCTTGAAAAGTTCGTGGGAGTCCAGAGAAGGTTTAAAAGGAATGAGAATAAAAGGTACGAAGTTTGCCGGGTCAGCTAGTGCTAAATATTATTCGATTTCGATTATACTTACACCGAAAACTTGCATAAGAGGGTAACATAACGACACTCACATATAGCTGATAGAAATAGAGAGTCTAAACTGTCTCACACATTTAAGTTATCCCATATTATGTACCTAGACTTAAGATAAGGTAAGCAAAAATGGACTGTGTTGTATTGTGTTAAATATGAAATTGCTAAATAATCTCAAGTTACCTCTCTAAGTAGTTGGTAAGGCAGCTCAATAGTATCGTTGAAGTCCATACCAAGACTGTTGTATGCCACCATCATACGCTCCTCCGACGTACCTGCAACGAACCGAAGTTATAACATCGAGAAACGAAATACCAAATTTATAACTTTCCACATTCTTCTACACAATTTAACGTTACGCCTCTTTATCCCCAAAGAGCTAGACACATATACTGCTTTTCAACAGTTCTCTTAATATGATTCTTGTTTTATAGTGGAAGACCCTTGCCACATACTGGACATTACTCCTGAATTCTTTCTATCATTATTCAGAAACTTTCGATCAACATCATCATCGACAGCCGGAATACGTCCACTGCTAGACAAAGGCCTCCCCCTTAGTCCTCCACTCCAAATTACGGAACTAACGAAAATGCTACATAGTTATAACTTTATCTAAGTATATGTCTATTTGTGCACATAAACAAATATATAAACTCACCCCTAACATTATATACGTATAGCTCAGCGAATCTGTTGAAGTCGCAAGATGGCGTCTTGTTCGGTCCGTACCCGAACAGGAAGTTGGTGAGGTACTGCGCCAATCGGGGGTCTATCTGAGGACCCCAAAACCTCTGTAAGAAGAAACAAATAAAGGATAATTAGAAAAGGAACATTTTGATGTTTTATGGATCGTTTTGGAGATTGAGATCTTTAAACTTGCTAAGTAGCTATTTCTGAATTTAATATGATAACTCCTATCGATTAACTGTCGAAAGAAAACTGATGATGACAAATCCTCCGCTAGGGATGCACCTATGTGATGTATTTGAACTCCAACGATTAGGTAATCAATATTTCATATCTTTAAATTAACGAACGTTTAAACTACCTGATATATTTTCTTTCCAGATTAACTGACTTTTTTTTGAGGGCGTAAATCATCCCTTGATTTCTCCCTTCTTGGTGAGGCGAGAGGAAGTGCCAGACTCTTATTGAGTAAAAACCACCCCGTTCCTACAGCACTTCGAGCCGCAGCCGGCAACCCCTTAAAACCTCCGCGGTTCCGTATCGGGATCAGCCCTATTGGGCCCCATCTGTGGTGTTCTGATAGCATTTTGAGGCGCATGCGGAACGCGACGCGCCGTACGCTCGGGTCTGGTTCTGGCCGAGCGATGAATTACCCGTGCTCGCCTTCCGCAGGTCTATGCTTACGGTGGCTGGAGATACTGACTAGGTCTTTTTTCTATTGCGATGGAAATACTCATACTTCCCACATCGTGGGACGACGGGCATGCCAGACTCTTACCGGCTAAAACCACCGCGGAGTTCCTCATTTGCATGTGGCTGGGACCCGGGTTGCGCTTACGGGTTCACCGCATCTCGGTCTTGTGTCGGGTTCTTTTAACCGAACATAGTTATGATCCTTTCAGATAAATATATGACACGAGTTGTGAAAGATACTTTAATACGAGCTCAACAATCCACAACAAACAGGCCCATTGTTTTTATATTGTCAGTCCATAAAGGACAGGTAGTTTCAAGTGTACAAAAATGGATGAAGGCTTGGACAGCAAGGTTAATTGTTCATCAATAGATCAGTACTAAACGATACTTAAGATAAAATAATCCACAGTAGTAAGTAGCTATACAGAACACTGCTGGAGCTTTTGTAAAGGAGGTCCATGAGCCTGTTTTACAAAAGAGGATTTGCCATCATTTTTAGCTTGAACAGTGTTATCAAAGAACTGATCGTCCCGAGTCTCGGGTCTTATGACCAAATACTTGTGTATAAAATTTAGTAGCGTTTGTACGCTACTAAATTTTAGGATGCGCAAAAGTGTAGTTCTATCTCTACAAACTCTTTGTAAAATGACAGAGATGGCACGATATGTAAGGACCACTTAAAACTGAGTTGTCTTTTAGGATTCGGGCCACAGTCAGCACTTACGACATGCGGTGGGGGGTGATGACGTGAGCCGCGGAAGACTTAACGGGTTGCCGGGGCTCCGGCTCAAAATACAAGAGTAGGAACGGAGTGGTTTTTAGTCAGTAAGAGTCTGACACTCCCTCTCGTCTCACCCGGGCGGGAAAAGTCATTGAATGAATTTCCCCCCTCAAAAAAAACAAAGGGGTAATGACGTATTTATTCCATTCTGCCAACAAGACCCTTCTGGGGCAGTTACATACATACATAGCCTAACGCCTATCTCCCGTGGGGGTAGGCAGAGCCTATGGAACGTCAATTCCTAGGATTCTTACATACCCCTTTCGCTTCATCAACAGTCATCAGTCTTTTCTAGCAGCTGTGGGGCAGTTAGACATACATATCGAAGATTTTACAATCAAATCTACTCCTACACACGATAAAAAGACTGCATCAATGAACTATTTTCTACTTTGGCAGTCGGGTAAAAAACTAGTTTTACGAGTAACGATATAAAATCAGTCCCACACGAATAGCGGGCTTTACTTTCATTTCAAGGTACCGGTAATAAAATATACGAGATGAAACGAAACAGCTTGATAGGCTTCTAGTTGTCGATAGTGCAAACGTGGCATGAATACCTAATATAAATAAAAATTAATTTCCGTTCGGCCGTTTTTGAGTTAAAGCGAGACTGACTCACTAACAGTGTTCTGTAAAGGGCTGTTGATTGAGCATTAATCACCACGTTTGCTCAATGCGGGTTGGCGATTTCAAACTTATAATTAGAAAGTGTCCTCTCGACGTTTCCTTAACCTTTGTGGTGTCCAGATAATTTAGAAAGTACATATACACTGACACTCGCCTCACCCGAGCGGTAGAAGTCATTGGGTAATTTTCGCCCCTCAAAAAAGCACTTTCTGATAAACTTGAACTTCTCAAATTGCGGTCACATCTCAAACCCCCTACCAAGCTTGGAGACTATGGCAAATTCCCTCATAGGTGAAGATGGCACACAGCCTACCAAAACAAAAAAAGACTATAATAAAACAAAAAAAAAACAACTGAAGTTCACTACATATTCATCTATAAGGTAAAGTACACATTACACAGACCACGTGCTGTATTTTCCTACACCCGAACTATTAATTTCGATCGATATATTAACAAGAACAGGCGAAAACCAGAATTATAAACACACGAAATTCCCCAAAGTTTGTAATGTATGACTAAGATACATTTTCCTCATCATTTCGCATACCAAGTCTTGATTAACAAAAGCTTGAAATAGCAACAAGTAAAATCGTTTACCGATCCAACAGGATCTTGTACGGACGGTGATTGGTGCATTTACCTCAATTATCTGTACTGGCATTTTCGATTACTACGTTTATTTAATTCGTGAGTTTATTAGTTTGTGTGTATTACTGGTCTACGATATTCAATTTTCAGGTTCCGGATGCAATAAAAAGGGGAAAAAATCCGGTTATGCAACAAAAGCATCAAAGAGTTATGTTAAAATCCCCATTCCATAACCATAACTACCAAATCACCATGCTTGGTGAAGGCGAATTCGCGGAAATTATAATTAGAAAGAAACCGTACGGCATGGCAGCAGTTTCAAAATTAACTTGATAGGTACATTTATGTACAGTGGCCAGCTGATCAATCTACTACAATTTGTCAGATTTATTCATTGAATTTTGGACTTTATGTCATACAAATGTTTTTAGTGTGGGAGAGTCATGCTTCGGCAGCAATGAGCCAGCTCGACCGGATTGATACCACGGCCTCACAGAAAACCGACGTGAAACAACATCATGTGAGTAAAGTTACCGGAGGCCCAATTATCCCCCCTTCCCCAAATCCAATCCCTGAATCCCTAACAATCCTAAAATTCCTAATCTTCACAAGGCTGGTGACTTAGTGTTCTAAGTGTCCATGGGCGACACTGATTGCTTACCATCAGGTGATTTGTTTGCTCGTTTACCGGTTCATCCCATAAAAAAACGATAAAGTTAAAGATGTATTAGAGCAATTTGACAGAAAAGGGTCTGCTGGCATATATATAGCACTAGCTACTTCCGCACGGTTTCACTCGTTCTGCTCGGCGCCGTATTAATCGTAGCGTGATAATTTTATAGCCTATAGGCAGCCTTCCTCGATAAATGGGCTATCCAACACAGAAAGAATTTTTCAAATCAGATCAGTAGTTTCGGAGATTAGCGCGTTCAAACAAACAAACAATAAAACAAACTCTTCAGCTTTATAATATTAGTACAAATTATCAAAGTTAGGTACAGGATCATTGCAGTCGAGATCTCACACGATGATAGTCTCACTCCACTAAAATGTTGCAAAAACAAATATGAAAAATCGTAAAAAATCAAAGTGACTTTCATGTATGTTTTACGTGTTTTTATTTTAGTTTAGCGAGGTTTAATGGCTACAAACAATAATAAATAGTTGGTCCAACATTCGTCTAGCATCGAAAACTACATTTTTACAACGTTAAGATCTTGTTACCCTGACTTGGTGTCTACCAGAACCAGAACAGGTGTCTACTGAATAGTACTGTATAGCAATAGGAATCTGGACTACCATTTCCAAAAATAAAGAGTATACCTAATTCCAAAATTAGTTTTAAGGAAAAAGACATCTCGACTAATTTCAGAATACTGAAATAAATGGTAAATAATTACTTAATCGAAACCCAATAATGCTGTATGTACTCAAACCGGCGATAAAAGTACACTCGACCAACGATACAATATAAATTACGTACATAATTCATAACAACCTTCCTTCAACCTCATCGCGCCTATATCTGGAAAAAATATTCCAAAATTGTTCACAAAAATAAACCAATCAATCAGTCGGCCATAGATCCTCATTATATTTTTTTTCTCACAATATTTAAGGTTGAGTTCTGATGTTTATGGCGCGCATGGTTTTCTTCAACAACGTGTCTATGGTTGTACTAAACAATTGTTTAGATTTTGGGCCAACAAACTAGCGAATCGCTCATCAAAAATCAGGATATGTAAGTTAAATGAAACTTTTGTGTATTTTCTTTTTAGGAAGAAAGAATAAAGTATGTAAAAATAATGAAAATGATGTCTACGTTTGAGATCATTGCAAAATAATATTCTAAATTCAAAAGTAAAGTTTGGTTATTTGTTAGTTATCCACTGTTGTAATTCTTAAGCAATCTTGAAATTGTGCATACATAGCTTGGAGTAAGAATACAGAAATACACTAACTTTCTCGAATATAATAATAATATAATACAATAAGTATCCTATTTTATACAGGTATATTCAGCATAAACAACAATGCTTCATACACAAACTGGCGCCGCTACTCTACCCGCTGATTTCATGGCCCACAACCTCCTACAGTATTCCATGCAGCATTGTCGGTCGTATAAACATGGATGACGTTCATCGGTGGGTATTTGATCAATGTCTGGACGTCCAGATTTATGGCGCCAGTCTCCGCTGAACTGATCACGAGGTAGACTCGGTTTAGTCTGTTAGTATCTAAGTTTGAGTACTGTTTTCTGATTAGATTTGGGCGAAAATATGCTTTAGGCCCCGGCCGCACTAGGGCAGAACCGCGGCAATGTTGAACCAACTGATTTTGAGCCTGATGAAGAAGCATGTTAGTAGGGAGGTTAGATGGTTTTGTGTCATTGTTTTAAAAATT